TTGGTACTGTCATGGGATGCTTTTGATTATGAGTTAATAATAAAAAAATCGGGATTGAATATATTTTTTATTTAGTTTGATTAATTATATAGGGGATTATGTGATGTTAGAGGGCAGTGTATCGCCCTTGGTTGTCACTTTTGGTGACATTTGATAACATTGAAACGTTACAATTTTGGGTGCTATATATATCATTTAGCCCCCTCGACTCAGCCATATCAGAGTTAATCACTCAGGTTGGTTCATCGAGATATTATATATGAGTACTATATCACTTAGCGTCTCATCTGCTGCACACTTGGATCGTGATCCGTTGATTCTGCGATATGTCGACTATCCACGTGTAAGTGTTCTATCACCTTCTTGCCCACAATCCTGGGCCCTCGATTTCCCGACGGTTGAAATGGCTCGATCAGCTAGCTAGCTGTTCCTTACCCTTTTGTCTATAAAAGCTTCTTTTCGTCATTGGAAAATCTTTACTACCATTTCTGCAACCCGAGCTTCCTAGTGCAGTATCTTCCGGCGACTTTACTGTTAGCTTCCTGACAACTTCCTTGGACGATATCACTCCACGATGCTCTACCTTCTTCCGACGGCTGCGATTGGTACATTTGTTGCCTTTTGAACTTCTCTTTTGACATTTTGCTTCATTAATTTTCCCTCTTCTTAATTTTTTGGGCACTTATGGGAATCATTTATCCCTTTTCCCTCTCTTCTTATTTTATTAAAGTTCCGATTCCGACGATATTGTAGACTACCTCTTCGATCTCATCCTCTCAAGCCCGTCTCGATTCCTTAGTAGACAATTACTCCAACCTCTTTCAACGAGCAACGCTTATTCTGGCCATTCCTCTTACCTTCAAGCGCTATGGGCGAAAAAGCCATCATAGTGCCCTACTTAGTCAATATGGTCAAACCCAATCCTTTATTAACGAACGACCAGGTTACTGTGGTCTAGGGCAAAAAAAGAATCTGAACTTTATTGATGGACGGGCTGAATTATCTGAACAAACGTGTAAAATACGACCAGGTTCCTGCTCCGGTGCAATGATCAAACCCAGACCTCCTCCTCCAATAGCCGAGGAGCCATCCATATACATCATCCACAGGGCGACTTCCTTTCCATTGTGCATTCTTGTATGAAGTCCGCCAAAGCTTGAGCCTAGCTCTCCTGACCTCGAACTCCACATTGTATACTCCGAGCTCGATTGCCTGGTTAATATCTTGCCCGAGGCCCAAAGTCGACCTAGAGTATCCTTCACTGTAGTTTGTACGAACCACAACCTTATGCGCCAAAAAATAAGGTTGCAACTTCCGTGCCATCAAAATGAGTGTTAGCGCGACCTTCTCTACCTCAGAGTACTTTAACTCGACACCTTGCATATATAAATAAATATATATTTATAATAAATAATAAATTAATCTTCTTATAAATTTAAAGTTTATAAAATTAATTATAAATAAAAATATCTGTAAAGTTCATTATATAATATGAATTAGAAAAAATATTATAATATATAATGAATAAGTTGTCCAATCATTTTAAATAAAAATAATAATGCAATTTTTATAAGAACTATTCAAACTTAAAAAGCAAATATTTCATCTTTTGTTTTTGTTTTCTATTTAGATATATTTTTCCGGGCATTAAGGTGTTGTACTCTATAGTTAATCTTTTATTTTTATTTTTATTTTTTTTTTGTACAAAGAAGGGGGCCGAAAGGCCTAAGCTAATACTCGACGGGGATAAGACACCCCGATATAATCATGATCGAGCCAAACACCTAATTCCTCCGGAGGGGAGACGAGGCGATGTACTCCAATTGAGAAAGACGCCGCCATACTCGCCATGTGATCAGCTGCAAAGTTCGCTTCTCTATATATATGTTGGATATTAACACTCCAATCCCTTTGAATCAAATCCCGAATAGCGGTAACCATTGCATCATGGGGTCCCCGAGCTCGCATACCAATTTCTTCACACTAAGATTATCAATCTCAGCAACAACTTTCCTATATCCCATCTCCCACGCCAAAAATAATCCCTGAAATAAGTCCCACAACTCAACACCAGTAATGGTACAGGTGCCTAAATTGTGACAGAATCCGGCAATCCAATGTCGTGTCTCGTCCCGAAGTAACCCTCCCGCAGAGCTCCATCCCGTGGTACCATTGACAGCTCCATCAGTGTTTACTTTGATCCATCCCGGGCCCGGAGGAGTCCAACGTATCATCGTGTGACATGCACATTTGCCCCCACCCGAGCATAGACAGCCATCGCGCGGGTGTAATTTTCCGTCAACCTCAATACTTCCAGCCTCTGACCCTCAACACCAACGGTTGTTTGTGTTAAAAATTTTCTCATTCCGCCAAGTCCACCATCGCCAGACAGTGATGGAAAAAGTGCTGTTCCACGTCTCATTCTATCCCGCCCGCGCCATCGAGAGGTTCTTGCATAGCCACTGTTTGAGGGGCAGGTTGAAGAAGATATTATGTTTTGAGACTCTAGTTTATTGTGATTATTAACTCTTAGAGATGTTAAATGGTCCTTGGCCCGACGGGCCGGCTCGTTTAGCCCGGAAAAAAAGAGGGTTAGGTCCTTTTATTAGTAGCCCGTTTAAATCAAGGCTTTTTAGGCTCGGACCGTTTAGCCCGAAGCCCGCTAGGGCTAGCCCGAAACCTGTTAGGGCTGGCCCGTTTAACTATGGTTGGGCGGTGTAAATGTTTGCATCAAGTAAGTGATATACTCTTAGATTTATTGTATATTACAATTTTGATATAAGTACGAGTTGTAATGGATTATTATGATTTTGAAAGATAATTATTAACAATATTGTTATTGTACTTCATACCCAAATATTTAAGCCAATCACAACGACTAATAAGAAATACATGAAACATAGTGATAGACGGTAAATACTAAATAGCCGTTGAAAATAATTTTTAACTAGCCGTTGTTATTTTTTTTTATATTTTTTACTCTTTTTATTTTTTATTTTTTATATATTATTATTATTATTATTATAGTCATAGCCCGCATAGCCCGTTTAGCCCGAAGCCAGCTAGGGTTAGGGTTAAGTCTTTTTTTGGTAGCCTATTTAAATTCGGGCTTTTTAGGGCCGGACCGTTTAACCCGAAGCCCGCTAGGACTAGTCCGAAACCGCTAGGGCTAGCCCGTTTAACATCTCTATTAACCCTTGCAATCAGGTTGTGATAGGATATAAATTATTTTGCAATAATAAAGGTTTGGACGGAAAAGTGAGTAAAGAGTAGAAAAAAAAATGGTAGAAAAATAAATTATATTTGAGGGAGTAAATAGATATGAAATATAATATTTTTTTAATGAAAAAAAAAATATAATAGGACCGTAGCATCTCCCCTATATTTCTATCCAATTATTGATTTCACATAACGGAGCGACAACAAAATAAGAAAATTTATATATAAAAAACAAAAAAAAAATAAAAAAAGTGTAGAAAAAAATCAAAAACTCGTATTCAGTATATACGTTTTCTTCACAAATTTAATTGAAAAACTTATTGTATGAGTTTTTGATTTTTTTCTATATTTTTTTATTTTTATTTTTTTTCTGTCCAGTTAATTTAAATACGTTTTTCAATTAAATTTGTGAAGAAAACGTATATACTGAATACGAGTTTTTGATTTTTTCTATATTTTTTTTTATTTTTTTTTCTGTCCAGTTAACTTAAAATTATTTTTTTTTTTGGTTAAAAAAGTCCAACAAAATATACAAGTTTTTGTGATAAGAAAAAGAAAAAAAAAGAAATATAGAAGAGGGAAATAGGAAGCTGGAAGCATTCGCAAAATATAGATCAAAAGCCCAAGCTGCAAGGCCTCTACTCTGGTTTGTCTTGTTCAGTTCTCTCCACTCCATAAACCTTGCGTTATTATTTTTCGTTTGATATACAGTACTTACTTTTGGGCGTCTATCTGTTATATTTGGCCCTTTTTTCTTCAATTTTTCACTGTCAGTTGAAGAAAATGGAAGGGACTGCGAATGGAGAAGAACCCACTTCATGGGAAGATCTTTACAACATCAATTTGGTGCCTTCTGAGATTTTCCTCAAGTTTAGGAAAGAAATCCAGGGGTTTCGCGTTGGAGTTAATTTGGAGGTATTAGAGTTTTTTTTTTTATTTTTTTTTTCTTAATTTGGAATTTGTTGATTCTATATTGGAATTTGTATTGTGTAGATGAATGCTAAAAATACCTATCAAATATGTGATGTTACGTTTTGGAGATGATGAATTTTGTTTATGTACTTGTTGTGGTCAGTAAAATCTTTTTCCTGGCTGTGGTCACTTGAATTGAATTTTTTCTTAAGCATTTGAGGGTGTGTGATTTAGTTATTTAAAAGGCTTCAATTATGATTATTGATAAAATTGGTGATTTCATGTATATATCATCGGTTTCATTATCTGGAGATAAGAAGGCTTCAATTTGGTATATGCTATAATCTGTACCTGCACTGAGTCATCTTGCCTCTCCATTTCTTTCGAATGGTGATGGAAGGCTAAGAAGCTTGGCCATGGATAAGTTATTCAACGCTTACAAATATTAGTTTTGTTTCTCATTGTGCAAAATAATTTTGATTAAGTAGTAAAAAAGAAGTGAGAAACATGAGGACATTGACGGACTTTTGGGTGTCTGCGTAAATGGCCTTGATATATTTTATACAGATAGTATGTATCTATTAAGTTAACCTAAAAAAATTGTAAGTTAGTGTATTTCTTCCAATATTAGTAAGTTGCGTGCATAATTGAAGCGTTTTCCACCCCTTTGACTTTCGGTCATTCTTCCGTTTTCTCTTGTTAATTCTTTTATGTTTTAATTTGACTTGTGCTTACTATCTTTATTTTGCTTTATGGCGTTGTAGTTATGCTACCAATCTCATTTTTGAAATCCTTCCTTTTGACTTCATTTTAGCTTTACAATGCTCCTCTGAATGACTACCATGCAAAACTGGTTCTGAAGCCATTGGCCAATGAGCGAAAATGGAAAGTTATATACGAGCCGTTAGTCCACGACGTCCAGCTTGTCTCCAAGAAAATCCCGATAACAAAGTTTCTTAATCTACAGGTTTGATATTCTTCTCTCTTTTCTCTGTCCATTTCCCTAGCTTTCCTTCGCCAAATCCCACTGAACAAAAATCTTGGCATTTGGGCAGGTGGGTGTGGGCCATAGTTTTCAGCTACATGCTACTGGTTGGAAATGGAAGCTCTCGTCCTGCTTCGGTGAGGATGGTATTTCTCGGATTAAAAACAAAACATCCCTTGGTCTCTGCCCTGGAGTAGATTTTCGTTTCGGGTGGAAGGCTGATTATGTTCTCCCTGAAATTACTGGGTAAATTAGCTTTGTACCGACGGAAAAATTCAAATATTTTCCCATTTAGCATTATCTTCTATATGTTAGTTCATTTTACTCTGATGGGTTCGACTGTCTCGATTTGAATTTTTCTGCTCTATCAGCAGTAGTATTTTTTTTTTTTGGATGAAATAAGTTTCATTTGAGCATGTCATCTACAGGGGTGTGGGCACGGATGAACCATTATTCAACATGAACTCTGGACGCTTGCAAGCGTCACTTGATAGAGTCGAGGCCATTTTCACAAGTTCTGATGCAACATGACATATACTTGGTATGCATAGTGTATATTGCTTTGAAGTTGTTAAAAGGGACATTTTTGAATTACTAGAGCTACCTATTTTTCCATACTTTTGTGCGCTATTTCATTGTTATTATTTACGTTGTTGTATGCTTATGTATATTTTCACTTGAAATAGTAAGGATGCGTGCAGCCTTCTTTTTCAGTTTGCCCTTATGCAATCAGTATGGGAACGGGACGCAATGTATTGTGAACGTGCAAATGAAGCTCCATTAGAGATATAGAGAATCGGGGTAATAGCTACGATTTCATCTCATTGCAGATTTTCTAGGCTGTTCTTTTTTTCTTTGGAGAGCAATTTACATTACTGAGTTTTCTGATGAATGGAGGCAGTCATAAGTCATTGTTGTTTGGCTTTGTTTGTTTTGCTACTGTGATGCTTGGTTGGCCGTGGTCCCTTACAAGTGACATCTCTTCCCTGTACTGGTTGGTATAGGCAAAAAAGTAGATATAAAAATTGTTCTCACATTTATACTAGTCAAAATCGGTCTGGGCATGCAACACGCTCCGCCTCACCCCAAGAATTTGGAAACTTGCTGAGTGGGCCTAAATGGGCCAGTCAGTGTGGCTAGGCGGGCCGGCCTGCCTTATAAGGTATATATGTAATAGTGAGTTTTGGGGCGGATGGGATTGGTGATTGCAGAGCACCGCGTGAAGCCCTGCCTCAGTCCGGGTTATGAGATTAATCGAAAATCAAGTGTAATTTGTCATTATTTTGGTGAATTTCAATCCATTTTTGTCCCACTTCAAACCAACGGCGATTCGAGTAGCCTAGACATGACTGGTCTTTCATGCCACTGCACATCACAGTTATCTCCAGATCACGTGGATGTCTTATTTCGAACCCTCAAATTGGGTTTTTGTCCTTCACATAATACTTAGTATATATTAAAATTATATATCAATATAATTAAATGAGATAAATGGTACGCCCTGTGACAAAAAAATAAAGAAAATATTTT